GTACTTTCTAACATTTTTTCAGTCTCTTCAGGTATCTTAGATAGGTTAGCATTTTGTAAATACTGTTTAATTTTTTCCTCATCATGATCCTCCTGTTTATATAGTTGTCCATAAAAGTCTCGGATAATTGCCTTTTTCTCCTTGTTACCATAGCACATTTGGCCTTGATCGTCTATTAACTATAATGTTTTCCTTGATTCTTTCTCCTTTCTCAGTTTGTATGCTAACCATCTACCTGGCCTATTTGCATCTTCAAAATAGTTCTGTTTAGCACTTCTAATTTTTTGTGCCAATTCTTCTTTCTCTATCTGACTCATGTTATGTTTAATTATGTCCATTTTAAGTTGAATATCTTTTTTCTGTGGCATTTTCTGTAATTCTTTTTCCAGTTTTTTGTGATCATCTTCTAAAGCTTTGATAGTTTGCCTTTTCCTAATTTTCTTTGTATAGTCTATTATTAATCCCCTTGCATATGCCTTCGTTGTATCCCAAACATTCTGTACTGAAGTATCTTCTTTTTTATTTTCACTAAAGAAGAAGGCCAATTCTTTCTCCATCCATTGTGTGAAGTCTTTTTCCTTTAAAACAGTATTATTTAATGTCCATCTAGATCTTCTTTTTTGTCCTTTCCATTTAATTGTCATTGGATTATGATCTGCCCATGTACTTGCTTCAATATTTATTTCTTAAATATTAGATATTAATTCTGTTGAGGTCCAAATCATATCTATTCTGGACCATGATAAATGTCTATTTGAGTAAACAGTATATTGTTGAATTTTAGCATTTCTTTCTCTCCATATATCTTTTAAGTTTAATTCATCTATCATTTTGAAAAAAGATTTAGGGAGAGTCTTTCTATTTTGTCTTGTTGCTGTTGCTGTATAATGCAGTTTATTGTCTACAATTCCATTGAAATCTCCCATCATAACTATGTTAATATAGTCCAGTCCCATTGTTTTCATATGTAATTTTTTATAAAATTCTTCTTGTTTATCACTCGGGGCATAAATTGCAACCAGGAGTGTTTTTGTATTATTATCCACTATTTCAATCATTAATACTCTTCCCTCTTCATCAGTATGAATCAGTTTTGCTGGGATAGTTTATTTAATATATAAAACCACTCCTCTTTTCTTACAGTGGGTCAGAGAAGTAAATATTTTTCCTAATTTTGGTCTTGCCAATAATTGTTCATGTTGTTTTTTAATATGTACTTCTTGTAAGCAAATTATATCAAATTTTAACTTCTCTAATTTGTGACAGGTTTTTCTTCTTTTGGTAGCTGAGTTCAGTTCATTTATATTCATAGAAATCAGTTTTTTTTCCTCCATGATTATGTTTTGTATTTAGGTCTAACAGCTCTCGTAGATCTTACTTCACGTAGTTCTTTGGTCTCCACTTGTTCACCTACTGCGCCTTCTTCTTTTCCCATCCCCATTTGGTCCTCTTGAAGTTCAGTTGAGATGATCTCTTTTTCTGTCTCTATTTCTCTTTTTTCGAAAAATTCATTGTAGAATATTTCTGCTTTCTCAATTGAGTCAATTCTGTGTCTCTGTTCTTGCCATGTAAACATTAATCCTTCTAGAATCAGCCATCTATAATTCACCTCTTTTTTCAATAACATTTTAGTCAGGAATCGATATTTTAGTCAGGAATCGATATTCTCTTCTCATCTCTCTCACTGGCAGTCTAATTTTCTTGAAGGTCTCAAGTGATGGAGCTCCCACAACTTCCAAGGGCAACTTCTGTTCCATTGGTTGATTGTTCTCACTGTCAGAAAGTTTCTCCTTATTTCCAGGTTAAATCTCTCCTTGTTCAGTTTCCATCCATTATTCCTTGTCTGGCCTACAGGTGCTTTAGAAAATAGCTTGACCCCTTCCTCTCTGTGGCAGCCTCTCAAATATTGGAAGACCTCTATCATGTCTCCCCTGGTCCTTCTCTTCACTAGACTAGCCATGGCCAGTTCCAGTTCTTGTTCTGGTGTGACATTTCTGTGAATCTTGTTTGGGTGACAGACCTTGAAACACTGATATTGGGAATGAAAAAACCTTAGACTTGGCTCTCTGAACTCGGGACTGTGTTTTTATTACTCTTTTGTGCATTGCTGTTGAAAGTGTCAACTTGCGGAGCATCCCTCACCTGCTCTCGAGTTGCCATAGGCAAGGGAGATGGGGAATCGAACCTTGCAGCTGCCTCAAGGAACTGGCATTTCAGTCAAAACAAAGCACATTCCAGCTGGACACATCAAGATTATCTCCACGGAAACCCACAGTGGCCAGAGGGAGTGACTTCTACAATCTGTGAAATTGCTTCATTGGACAATGTGACTGATGATACATCTTGGGAGAAGGGGGAAACAGGGTCAGAGCCAAAGCATGAATTAAGTGAGATCAGAGTTCGCTCCACCTGGTCTGTTCTGACATGAAGCTCCTAATAAATAATGATTTCTTTTGAAGCTTGGCCTGAGGCTCATGATTTAATTAGGGCATTGGTCGGAACCCTGTCAGAAAGTGAAATTCCCCAGGGAAGCTTTCTTTCCATGGAAGCCTGCTTTGGTTTACCTTTCTTTGTATGCCACTGATCTACTAAGAGTTGATAAAATTGCTCATCTCGCCTAGCAACTACGTGACTTTGAACTCAGGGACCAAAATAGCCAATGCAGAGTACTTGCCAGAAACTGGACAAAGGGGGGATATTCTTACCATATTGAAATAAAGATAAAAGATAATCAGAGTTGGAAGGGACTTTGTATGTCATCTAGTCCACCCCCTGCCCAAGCAGGAGACCCTGACACCATTTCTGACAGATGGGAGTCCAATCTCTTATTGAAAGTCTCAAGTGATGGTGCTCCTACACTTATTAGTTATTTAGTCACTTCTTATTGCTCAATAGAAAAAAATAGACTGATTAGATATGAATTGTTAAATGCCTATTAAAATGCCCTGAAAGAAAATGCTGTATGCCATGCTGCCTCTTTGACCATTCCCAGCATCTCTTTGCATCATCTCCCAGGGTCATTTCACATACCATTACATCATATGAGTTCCAAGGTGCATGTATCAATATGTTAGTCTGGGAAGTAGAGACAAACTGAGCATCCTACTGGTATAGCCTCTGTCCTACACATTGGCAAAAAAAAATCAAAACACAAAATACAAGTTAGGCAGAAGCGATCTTGTAGACAACCCTCACTCTGTCAAGGACCTAGGAGTACTCATCTCAAATGATCTAAACCCCAGAGCTGTTACAGCATTGCCAAAAAGGCATTAACAATCGTTAACTTTATTTTGCGAAGCTTCTTCTCCAGCAACATTGAATTGTTAACTAGGGCATATAAAACCTTTGCCAGAACAATTCTCGAATACAGCTCATCTGCCTGGAACCTGCACTGTATATCGGGCATTAACACAATTGAGCAGTTCAGAGGTATTTCTCAAGAGAAGTACTCCACTCCTCCACTCACAGTAGAATTCCCTATGCCTCCAGGCTTGAAATTTTGGGCCTGGACAATCTAGAGCTGTGCCACCTACAGTCCAATCTAAGCATAGTTCACAAAATTGTCTGCTATAATGTCCTGCCTGTCAATGACTTCTTCAGCTTCAACCTCAATAATACACGGGCAAACAACCAATACAAACTCAAGGTAAACCACTCTAAACTTGATTGCAGAAAATACGACCAGCAACAGAGGGGTCAACGCCTGGAACACCCTACCCGACTCCGTGGTTATAGTCTCAACGCTTCACAGCTTCCACCTCAAACTCTCTATTGTGGACCTCACCCCATTCCTAAGAGGTCCTTAAAGGGGCCGTGTATAAAAGTGCACCAGCATGCCTACCACCCCTGTCTTATTATCCCCATTTATCTGTATTTACTTCCCTTGTTTATGTTCATTTTTATACTTGTTATTTTGCACATGTTTGACAAACAAACAAAACAAAACAAAATAAAATAAAATACATACCAACTATCTGGACGCCCAATAGTATCCTTTCACAGATTTCTGAAGCTGGTTTCTGCAGGGAAACTTCATAAGGAGATCTAATAAAGACCAGGAGTTTGTGGCTTCCTTGCCAACTATGAGTTTCTCTCAAGAAATCTCAGGCCACACACATCAAGCCAGATGCACATTAAACCTCTTCTTTCTCTCAGAGCAGATGTCACATTCCAGAGTTGGAAGGGATTCCCACTGTATAGTGCGATCACAATTCAGTTGCAAATAGAAAGCACCCTGGACCAGAATCTTGCAACTTATCATTTTGTTGGGACTCACAGACTAGGGAGTTCTTCCTTTCTTCTTGGTGCCCATGTTGACCAGAGAGTAATCAGGAGAAGGATCTGAATTGGCATCAGTGCTTCATTCACTGTCAGCTAAGTTTACAGGCAAAGATCTAGATGGGATCCAATCCATCTGTGCCTTGCAACCTGACTCATATTTATTTAAAAAAAACCAATACAAGCAGCCTTCAACTTATGACCACAATTGAGCCAAAAAATTTATGTGGCTAAGTTGGACATTTGTTAAATGAGTTTTGCCCCATATTAAACCTTTCTTGCTGCAGATATTTAGTTAGTAACATGGTTATTAAGTGAATCTGGCTTCCTCATTGACTTTGCCTGCCAGAAGGTCACAAAAGTTATTCTAATGACCCTGGACATTGCAATTATAATAAAAACCGCTCATTTGCCAAGCATATGATTTTTGATCATGTGACCATAGGGATGATGCAATGTTCATTAGTATGAAAACTGGCCGCAAGTAACTTTTTCGGTGCTAAAAAGGTTATGACTTTTTTCAAAGATGTAACTTTGAACTATCACTAAATGAACTGTTGCAAGTTGAGGAGTACCTGAAGTCTTTTTCTACCATGACTTGAAATAAATTTGGCTTTCTGTAGGGGGACCTTGGAGTGGGAAATTAAAAATGTCAGTGGTTACTTTTCAGAACTGTTAACTGATATTTGTAAATATACCTATCTAAAACTCACATTGCTATTTTATTTTGACATTACATATTCTTTTGTATTGAGGTCAGGTCTTAGGAAAATAATGAAACACTTGGGCATGAAGATGCAGCCAAGAAGTCCAGCATTGGAGACCAGGATGGAGAAGACCTGCACAGCCACCATGTATTTCCCTTTGGTGCTCAGGTAAGTCGGCAGGAAGGATATCCAGACACTGCAGAAGACCAGCATGCTGAAGGTAATCAGCTTGGCTTCGTTGAAGGCCCCAGGCAGATTCCTGGCCAGGAAAGCCACAGTGAAGCAGATGGCAGCCAGGAAGCCCATGTAGCCAAGGGCCCCATAAAACATGGCGACAGAGCCTTCATTGCACTGTAGAATGATTTCTCCAGATTGTGAGTACATGTCAGAATCAGGGAAAGGAGGAGAAGCACCCAACCAGATGCTGCAGATGGCAACTTGAAGACCAGAACAAGAAAGGATAATGGAGTTGGCTAAACTCTTTCCCAGCCATCTCTGCATGTTATTCCCTGGTTTTGTGGCCAAGAAAGCCAGCACCACTGTGATGGTTTTGGCCAAGACAGAAGAAATGGCAGCAGAGAAGATGATGCTGAATGTCGTTTGTCGAAGAAGGCAGGTGACTCTCCTTGGCTGGCCAATGAACAAGAAGGGGGTGAAGAAGGAAAACAGGAGACAAACCAGAAGGATATAAGAGAGGTCCCGATTGTTGGCTTTGACTATAGGAGTTTCTTGGAATTTAATGAAGATTCCCAAGACCAAGAATGTGATTAAAGCGAGGAACAAGGCAATGGAAGTCAAGATGATGCCTAATTTTTCTTGATAGGATAGGAAAGTCTTTGTTTTGGGGATACAGTGATCTCGGTTGTTGTTTGGATGTTGATCTGGTGGACATTTGCTGCATTTTTCTGCATCTAAAAAAGCACAAGAGTAACATTTACTTTAAAGCTATGTGCTAACTTCCCCTCTTGCAATGTTGACTGGGCTGCCAGTAGTTGTGTGTTCCTCTCTCCCCTAGTCCATGGAAAATTTGTCTTGCACAAAATGGTTCCTGTGTCCAAAAAGGTAGAGGTCGGCTTCCATGGAACCTTATCTATCTGTTCCAAATTGAAGGCAAACATTCTGGGGGGGATTCCTGTATTATAGGCAGAATAATGGTTGCTTGCCTCTGATCTAATACATGACAGGATGCCCTGGAACTGCTCACTTTTACGGGAAATGGGGTGCATAATAATGTGAAACATGAAAAGTGCAATGAAGACAAAGGATAAGAGAGGTCAACTCCCTGGTGAAGCTAAGATATTTTTGCTCCAATTGTTTTTATAATCTGTTCTCACTTTAACCTCCAGAGCTAAACCTCTTATCATTTAGTAGAGAAAAAAATATGCATATTAGATGTGAATTGCTAAGAAGCTTATCAAAATGCCCTCATGGAAAATGGTTGAGGTACATGGTCTTCCTAGAAAGAAAAGTTTCCCCTTTCCTCTGGTGTCACCCACCTTCCATGGTGGAGATGGTTCCTTCTGCACAGGGAAGACAGTCATAGCAGCACACGGGCCTCCCTTCCTGAGCCACCTTCATGAATCCGGGATGGCAGCTTTCCACGCACCTGGAAGGAGGCAGGGACTGAACAAAGAAAGGAAGACCAGGAAATGATTTATGATTTAATTTCCAGAAGGGGGCATAAGAGAGAATTTGGTGATCTCCTGCTTATATTTAGCTTTGCTAAATCTAAAGCTTATACAAAGAGCTCAGAAATATGCTTGTTTGCACATTGCCTCCATCCTTTTTTTTTCTAATATTCTGTACATATCTATTTTAGTTTATGTTCTAAATTTACATGTTATATTGCTAAAGATAATGTTTAATGCACTTTTTTCCTTGGGGAAAGAAACCAAACCTACCCTGGGTCAAACATTGCACACTTCTGAGATGACTAGTGAATAGTTTCCTTAAATAGATAAATATACATTTCTTAAAGAGAGCTTGATATCTACCCAACAAATGTGTTGCTTCTCACGGAGGATGTAAATGGCATTCAAAATCACTCTGTGACCCAAGAAAGCAATCCTGTTGGTAAGAGACTCACAAAAAGTGAAATAATTATTTTCTCCACCTTGTTCAGCTTATTGATTTCCACTGTAACCTTTGGATCGACCATGAACTTGAAATCTAGGGATCCTTGTTTTTCTAGGCTGCCAAACATCAATTTCCTAATTGACCTATTGTGAAATAGCCAATTAACAATGTCCAAGTCTACTGTTAGTTCTCCCTTCTCATCCAGATATACTCCTTCTATGGATTTATTATAAAATTCAGAGTTTCCAAGGAAGGGATGAAGCTTGAATGGAAGAAAAAAAAATGGGAAGTTTAGATAAGATGTCCAAATGTTTGTGGAAAGACCTCTTTTCAGGAGACAATCAATCAACATTCAATTGTAATCCCTACCAATTTAATATTTAAATATATATAAACTGGACAAACACTGTGAAATGTAATAGAGACACAATTTTGTAGAGTTTCCAGATTCTGTAATTATTCCTTTTTGAAAACCAATTTAAAATGAGAATATGTTTTTAAAGAAAGGAAAGAGTGGAGGGAATGGAAAAAGGAGAGAAATGAAAAGTTGGAATTCAATTGCCCCAAAGGTGTTTTTTTCAAGAGGCATCTGGACTTCAAGACATTTTGCTTCTTTCATCCAAGAAGCTTCTTCAGCTCTGATTGGATGGTGGCAATGGAAGGATTTATACTCCTTGGAGACAGCTGGCCATTTTCATTCTTTTAGCGAGTTGTTAAGGTCACTAACCTACTTTATATATACTTTATCAATGCATAGACCACATGACTGCAAGGAATATAAATATAAAACCTTCCATTCTCCAATATTCTCCACCATTCACTCAGAACTGAAGAGGCTTCTTAGTTGAGAAGCAAAATGTCTCCTAGCCAAACAAGAAAGTCCAGTTGCCTTTTGAAAGAAAGTAATTTGGGACAACCATGGCCTGGATGACTGAGAATCTCCACAGACATTTGGAATTATTTTTTTTCTACTCAGGATAAATGATGTTTTTAGAATAGCTGCCCAGTTCTTACAATTAGCAAATAGATTCTTGGCTGCAAGTGTTCTGACCCAAGCTTTGTCAATTGTAATTAATCACAAACTTGTTTTAAAAGCAAAACCTATTTTATTGCAACGCTGGGAATTATTTTCATTCCTAGCTAGAACTAATCTTAAGCAGTCCCCCAAGATAACCACACACCTTCCAGTTCTGTGGAATGCTACCAAAACCAGAAGTATCCAATTAACTATAAAAGAGACCAACCAAAATACAAGAAAAAAAACAACCAAAGTACACAGAGCTTAAGAATGACTTGGAACCGATCGAACTACTTTGCTCCCTGCAAGGGTTTTGTCATTTAGGTCTGACTTTTATCCCTTATGGGAGTGGCAATCGCCTCTCAGCCTTACTCCTGAGTCGCCTCTTTAGTTTCAACTGCTCTCGCCTTCTAGCAGCTCTGCACATACGCACACTGAGAACAGGCTCCCCTGGTTCCTCTGCCTCACTGCTGCCAGACTCTGAAGGCTCCAAAGGCAGCGCCCCACTCCCGATGATCCTATCCCTATCCCTGCATCAGTTGCAGGACCCTCGTCTGAGTCCTGTCCAGACTCCCTGACAGGTCCCCTTTCTTTCTCACTGTCCGATTCCATTGCTGTCTGCATCGGCTGCTGGTGAACCACAACAGCAAGAGACGTGCAAGTAATAGAAAAGAAATACCTGCCAAGCCTTCAGTCTTGCAGATTCCAGGCTCTTAACCCTTTCCATCAATGTCCTTTTGAATCTCGATAAGTAGGCTGCATGTAAGGCCTGTGCCACAGCCCAGATGGTGTTGTAAATAAAATGATCGTCTAGACACAGGATCCGATCCACCACATGTTGAGGCACAACCTCAATCTCTTCTCTCTCTCTGCATCGTCTCCAGACTTTCACAGAAAAGGCATCTTTGGTGTAGGAGCACATGAAGCATTTTTCCGCAAAATGTCTAATGGAATAGTAAAACTGAATATGCCCATCATAGTTTGTCATTTGTTTTGTCTTCAAAAGAAAGGAAAGAAGGTTTTGGATGAATTCAGAGGGAAATTCTTGCTCCGTGAAAAAAAGTTGTAAGTCCCACAGCACTGTTGTCACCAGGACTTTTCCTGCAAACATTTCCATATTTTGATGTACTAGATATAGAAGTGCTATTCCTGTGCCAATTGAATCAAACTCTGCAGCATAAAGAAAAGTGTTAACTTGTCTCCAGTGCTGATATAGAGGAATATCTATTGACATCTCAAAGGAAGTTGGCAAAAATGTCTGCAAAATAACTGGACAAATGCCATTCCTGATCAGCATGGAAGGCAACATTGTCATGAATTTCTGCCCCTGGTCAGTGTCCGGAGCAAGCAGCCCAACCAAAGTCCACCTGAAATGGAGGAGCAGCTTGACCATTCCTGAATACTGGAATCCTTCAGCAGGGAGCATTGGGTAGAAGAAGGGAAAGTGAATTTTATTTATCAGAATCTGGGAAACAAAATTGTAACTAATCTGAAAAGGAAGGAAAAGTGGTATTTTATCTGAGACCCATAAGAGATAAAATGTAAGATACCAATTCTGTCCCTAATGAAGAGTTAGTTCCACTCCTTGCAATAAAGATGTCAGTGTCCCAACCAGTGGTGGGATTCAAAAAAATTTACAACCGGTTCTGTGGGCATGGCTTGGGGGACTTGGCAGGGGAAGGATATTGTAAAATCTCCAGTCAGAGGTGGTATTCGTCCATTCTCCAAACTACTCAAAATTTCCGCTATCAGTTCTCCAGAACTGGTCAGAACCTGCTGAATACCACCTCTGGCCCCAACTAACCAACTCCAAAACACTAAACTCCGAGACAAACATTTCCTCAAAGTTCCATTTTATTAGAGTTGTCGTGTTGGCACATCTGGGAAAACCTGAATCTGAGAGTTCTGGGTTTTCCCTTCCCAAAACAAAAATCAAAGATCCATCCCCTGCACCCATCAGTCCATCACATGGCCCGATCAAATCTTCATCCCAACTGGAGACATCCCTCCAGACACTCCTCTCCAGGTGCAGAGCAACTTGTCCTTGACTCTCTGAGAAAGAATGTTGTTGTGTCCAACCTTCCACCTCTCTATGAAATCCCCCTTACCAAATTCCCAGGCACTAAATGTGGCAGCCTTGAAGCTTCCAAGTAAAAAATAGCTTCCAAGGTTGACAAAAGACTTCTTTATTTCATGCATTGCTTCTGTCCCCATTCACTTCTTGATGGGATAATGTTTTATCCCAGAAAAAGCATGTCAAATCGGGATTGGCATTCATAATGAGAGGGATATGATTGTTCTACTCCTTCATTTCAAAGAACCTGAACCCTCAACCTTAAGCCCTACCATTTCCATAGTAAAACTTCTCTTTATTTGCAAGGAAGGATCTCTGATTGATTTTACTGGTCTTCCCAGCAAATACTCACCTGTGGGATTTTGTAGGTCTCTAACATGGATGATATCTGGATGGAGAAGCCTGTTTCAGTACCTTCAAGAACAGCCACTGTGTTTCTCTGGTTTCCACAACTGTAGTTGGGGACATTGGCCTCCCCAACTGAAAGCAGGTCCAGCAAAGCATCTGAGGTTTTTCCTGCACTGAAATAATTTTCATAGATACTGTAACCCAGGGTGATGTTGGGTAAGGTATGGGAATTCTGGTTGATCTCCTGGATGGCAAAAATGAAGGATAGGATTTTCCAGTATTGTGCTCCTTTTATCCTGTACAGATAAGTTATTACACGTACAGTAATCAATCAAAAGGATTTTTTTGTTTAATTTCATAAAAAAAACACTTAACGTCTTAGTTCAAGCATTCTGAATAGGTTAGAGTAAACCTGAAAAGTGTAACATAAAAATGATAACCTTTAACCGTCTATTGTGGACCTCACCCCATTCCTAAGAGGTCTGCAGGGAGCATGCACAAGCGCATGAATGTGCCTACTGTCCCTGTCCTAATGTCTCCCTTTTATTTGTACCCATTTCATGTAATCATAATCACAGATAACAGATAATCAGAGTTGGAAGGGACCTTGTAGGTCATCTAGCCCAACCCCCCCCCCCCCAAGCGGAAGACCCTACACCATTTCTGACAAATGGCAGTCCAATCTCTTCTTGAAAGTCTCAAGTGATGAAGCTCCCACAACTTCATCTTCTGTTCCATGGGTTGATTTTTCTCGCTATCAGAAAGTTTCTCCTTATTTCCAGGTTAAATCTCTCCTTGTTCAGTTTCCATCCATTATTCCTTGACTGGCCTACAGGCACTTTAGAAGATAGCTTGACCCCTTCCTCCTCTCTGTAGCAGCCCCTCAAATATTGGAAGACTGCTATCATGTCTCCCCTGGTCCTTCTCTTCACTAGACTAGCCAAGCCCAGTTCCTGCAACCGTTCATCGTATAATCACGTTCTAATTATATCTGTTATCTAATACATGCTCGACAAATAAAATAAATAAATATAAAGAAAGAAAGAAAGATTGACATACCTCAATACTTGAGTCAAAGGAGGTACTTTGAAAGTTAATATTTGGAAAAAAGCCAAGGTTGCGGGGACAATGCCACCAATGGAAAACTCTCCTTGCCTGTAGTGATTCTTTGGGTATACCTCATCCCTCTGCAGAGTCAGGGGGCACTTGGCTTGGTGCACTGCCCAGACTCCTTGAGTCCAAAGAAGCAGGAGAAGCAGCAAAATGATGCATTGTTGATGAGGGTATCTAGTCCTACATGTGGCTTGAACAAATAGCAAGAAAAGATGGAAGAAAGTTTTCTTATTTCCGATAAAATGCAGCCAAGATTGCATTTTTGAAGCAGAGAGAAGGGGAAAAAACCCTCTCCCTGCTTGCCCTTAAAATCCTCCAAAGCCTCTCTCTCTCCAATCCCATTTATGCACCCACAGGTTTCCAGTGCCCTGGTCCACAGGGCATTTGTGTGAAATCAAAGCAAAAATATATTATTGAGATGTTTGAGTCAACATTTCCAAGAGGTTGCAGCAAAATCTCTAGAGAATGATCAGCAAGACAACTTAAATTAGTATAATTTGGATAATGGCAACCAGGAGAGACATCACAGATGTTTGAAGTTTTTCCCATTGAGGTGGGAAAATGTGGCTCCAAATTTTCTCTCTAAGAAAATGTATTTATGCAAAACACAGTCAAGAGCAAGTGTTAGCATGAGTGTAAACAGTGGCCACCTTGATCTGGATGTAATTGGCCACGATTTCTGGTGAACTTCAGCTACCTTGTCAAGTAACTCAAGGATTTCATTTATTTATTTATTTGTTTGTTTGTCAAACTGTCTGGGCTCCGGCAGTTATCCCCATTTAAATCATGAGTCTCCAGACTAACTTCCAAAACTTAAAGAAGATTTATTAGAAGTAAACATGTCCCGCACCGCCTGGGTGTAGCCGACTCTGAGACACATAATTCATTGTCACCCTTGACCCTGGTTTTCCTCCACCCCCTGGGTGTATCACAATTCATATTCTCCAATGGGACACATCCACAGCCAAGAGTCATCAACCATACCCTACAGCCAGAAACCTTGGCCACCCAGAAACCATCCCCCAAAACACCCATGGAATGCACGCTGCCCACTGCTCCCTCCTCCCACTCTGTTGGCAACTCCAAAAAGACCATAGGAATACTTCATGAGTTGACACAAACATGTACAAGATAACATGTATGAACATAAACAGGAACAAAGGGAGTAAATACAGATAAATGGAGACAGTAAGACAGGGACGGTAGGCATGCTGGTGCGCTTATGCACGCCCTCTTTAAGGACCTCTTAGGAATGGGGTGAGGTCCACAATAGACAGTTTGAGGTGGAAGCTGTGAAAGGTTGAGACTATAACCACGGAGTCGGGTAGGGCATTCCAGGCGTTGACCACTCTGTTGCTGAAGTCGTATTTTCTGCAATCAAGTTTAGAGTGGTTTACCTTAAGTTTGTATTGGTTGTTTGCTCATGTATTATTGTGATTGAAGCTGAAGAAGTCCTTGACAGGCAAGATGCTATAGCAGACAATTTTGTGAACTATGCTTAGGTCAGACCGCAGGCGGAGCAGTTCCAGATTGTCCAGGTCCAAAATTTCGAGCCTGCAGATAGAGAGAATTCTATTGTGAGTGGAGGAGGGGATTACTTTTCTTGAGAAATACCTCTGAACCCGCTCAATTGTGTTAATGCCCGATATACAGTGCAGGTTCCAGGAGGACGAGCTGTATTCAAGAACTGGTCTGGCAAAGGTTTTGTATTCCCTCATTAACAATGTGCTTTTTTGTATACATTTTTTATTTTTATTTCCTTAAATACATCTTTGGGTGAACAGTGTGGCTCTAGGTCTTTAACATTTTAAAGCAAACATGACCATAATTACATATTCCAACTATTAACTTTCTTATCTGTTTTCATATTATTACCTATTACCAATTTTTTCATTCAATATTCTTATATGTTCATTCAATATTCTTATATATATTCTTAATCTCATCATTTTTATACATGTTCTTGTAATCATCCTATTTGCAAATTTTATCAAATTATATCATTCAATTAATCATTCCTAAATTATCTTAATTTATATTATCCAGTATTTATCCCCCTTTTAATATTAATTTTGCCACCATTATATTTTTAATACTAAGTCCCTCTCTAATCTCATTACTTTTCACAAATCATACTTTCCTTTTTTTATTTAACAAATTATATATTCTAATAACAATATAATCATTTTTATCTATTACCATATACTATATACACATATGTTCTCCATCAGGTTCCACATGACATTTCCTTCCCCATACTATCTTATTGGTTTTCTTATATATTCCTTAAACCAGTGCAAAACCAAAAGTGCATTCCATACATACTTTTCAAAGATAGTAACTAGGTGACCGAAGTTTCCGCCCCGCAAAATTCTAACTGGAGAGCTTCTCAGATGCTGTGGTTTGCTGGCAGCCTGTGGAGATGGCAGTGGAATCAGACAGTGGGGAAGAAAGGGGATCAGTCAGGGAATCTGGAGAAGACTCAGATGAGGGTCCTGTGTCCATTACAGAGATGGGGCCAGGACCATTTGGGAGTGGGGTGCTGCCTCTGGAGCCTTCAGAGTTTGGCAGCAGCGAGGCAGAGGAACAAAGGGAGCCTGTTTCCAGTGTGCGTGTGTGCAGAGCTGCTAGAAGGTGGGAGCAACTGAAACAAAAGGGGCAACTCAGGAATAAGGCTGGGAGGTGATTGCCCCTCCCATAAGGGATAAAGGACAGGCAAAGATGACAAAACCTTTGCAGGAAGCAAAGTCGTTCATTCGGTTCAGACTCGTTCTTGAAGCTCTTTGTACCTCGGTTGGGTTTTTTTTTCTAGTTCATTTGACACTTCTATTATTGGCAGCACTTCACAGGAACAAAAGGTGGGTGCTTGTCTCAAGGGACTGTTTGAGATTCATTAATGGCTGGGAATGAAAATAATTCCCAGCATTGCAATAAAACAAGACATTTTTAAAATAAGCGTATGCATAATTCCGGTCTCGGAAGCCTTGGTCAGAACATCTTCAAAGAAAAACCAGAAAGTCCAGTTGCCTCTTGGAAAAAAAAAAGCACCTTTGGGACAACCATGACCTAGACCAGGGGTCGCCAACCTTTTGGACCTCAGGGACTACCAAACTCATAATTTTAAATACCAGGGACCACTAATATGAATTTTGACTGACAGTGGCTTGCTGACGTTGGTGGGAGAGAGTGGGGGGAAGAGAGAGAGAGAGAGAGAGAGAGAGAGAGAGATCTGATCTAACATCTCTCTCTCTCTCTCTCTCTCTCTCTCTCTCTCTCTCTCTCCCACACAGACACACACACAGAGGCAGGAGTGGGATTCAAATTTCTTAACAACCGGTTCTGTGGGTGTGGCCTAATTTGTGGTTGTGGTTTGGTGGTCATGTGACTGGCTGGGCATGGCTTGTATGTAACTATTATAAATATTGATATAAATATTGATTTTTTTTTCTTAAAAAAGAGCAACTTTTACCCAAAATCAGGCAGAGCAGGCAGGCAGGTTGAGTTGCTCCTAGAATCACAGATTCACTCAGACATCTACCATTCTGCAATCTGCTCCCTGAGTCTGTCAAATAAAATTTGCTAGCAAGCAAACTCACAAAATTAACTCACAACACACCTTGTACGTAAATATTGGATTTTTTATTTTAAAAAAGAGAGAGAGAGAAAGCAACTTTTACCCAAAATCAGGCAAAGCAGGCAGGCAGTTTTAGTTGCTCAGAGAATCACAGATTCATTTAGAGATCTGTGTTTCTGCCATCAGCTAGCTGAGTCTGCATTGCTTCAATCCTAAGGGAGGTTCGGCTCTGCTTAAAATCCAACAATTTCCTGCTTTCTAGCTAATCTAAATCTCCCAGCACAGCAGAACAGCTGATTGTCGGGAAAAAGGAAACAGGAAAAATAGCAACTTAGCAGGCAAGTTTGCCAGGTAAGGAATGAGTGTAGGGGGAGGGTTCCTGCAGGTCATGTGGGCAGCCACTGACCTAGATGACTCTCCATAGACCCCTATATCAGGAGTGCAGTCAATAAGTTAGTAACCCAGTTGTTAAGTGAATCTGGCTTCCCCATTAGCTTTGCTTGTCAAGACGGTTGCAAAAGGGGATCGTATGACCTTGGGGCACAGCAACGGTCATAAATATGAACCTGTTGCCAAGCATCTGAATTTTGATCGCACAATTCAGAGGATGCTGCAAAGGTCATTCACCGTGGAAAAAATGGTGATAAGTCACTGCTCTCTGTGCCGTAGTAACTTTGAATGGTCACTAAATGAACACTTGGAAGTCCAGGATGACCTGTGTTATTATTCAGCAGCTTAAGAGCAAACCAACAGCTCCTGTTCACAGGACGCCGGGAGAATTTTT